CATGCCCGGCTAATTTTTGTATTTTTGGTACAGATGAGTTTTCACTATGTTAATCAGGCTGGTCTCAAACTCCTGACCTCAAGTGATGCCCCCACCTTGGTCCCCCAAAGTGCTAGGATTACAGGCGTGAGCCACCTCCCCCAGCTGGAAATTTGTTTATAATTTAAAACAAAGATGAGGCCGGGCACGGTGGCTCAAGCCTGTAATCCCAGCACTTTGGGAGGCCGAGGCGGGTGGATCACGAGGTCAAGAGATCGAGACCATCCTGGTCAACATGGTGAAACCCCGTCTCTACTAAAAATGCAAAAAAATTAGCTGGGCATGGTGGCGCATGCCTGTAATCCCAGCTACTCAGGAGGCTGAGGCAGGAGAATTGCCTGAACCCAGGAGACAGAGGTTGCGGTGAGCCGAGATCGCGCCATTGCACTCCAGCCTGGGTAACAAGAGTGAAACTCCGTCTCAAAAAAAAAAAAAAAAAAAAAACAAAGATGATAACAACCCCTTCCCAAAACAAACCCCCTTCTTGCCTAGGGACTGGCCTGCCTTGGTAGATATAACAAATTAGGCAAAAGATGAGAAATTATGGTTTAGGAGTCATGCAGCAGGAGGCTACCAGATTCTAACCCTCCCCCCCGTTGTTCCTGGGGATACAATCACTATTGTAAAACCAAAGATGAGTAAATATTTTGCAGACCCTGAACATGATGGATCAGCAGGCATCACTCAGGTCGATAAACTGGTTCATCTGGTCTTGTGGCCCCCACCCAGGAACTAACTCAGCACAAGAAGACAGCTTCCACTCCCTGTGATTTCACCTCTGACCCAACCAATCAGCACTCCTGACTCACTGGCCTCCCACCCACCAAATTATCCTTAAAAACTCTGATCCCAGGATGCTCAAGGAAACTGATTTGAATAATAACAAAACTCCCGTCTCGGGCACAGTTGGCTCTGTGTGAATTACTCTTTCGCTATGGCAATTCCTGTGCCTTGATAAATCAGCTCTGTCTAGGTAGTGGGCAAGGTGAACCCACTGGACAGTTATAAAAGTATGTTGCTTTGGAGGGCTGAGTACTTTGAACCAAAGAAAACTGCAAGGCCTCCAAAGCAAGGCTTATCTGACCTTCTCCTGTCCTCCCGTCTCCTGCCTGTCTTTATCCTCTCAAAGCAAGTTATCGAATCCGGATTATTTCTCTTCCCCAAGGTGGGGTCAAAGAAACTTTCTCCCCAAAAGCAAGTCACAAAACCTAGAAATGTCACTCTCTTCTCTTCTCCCTGAAAGCCCTCACTCCAGAGGGTTCCTGCTCCATTCCCAGGGGAAGGAATGCTTCACAGAGAGGTCAGGAAGAACCCAAACAGACAGGCCTTACCGCCGTGCCCTCAGTTTATAACCATTAGGTCACACTCCTTTGGGCAATTACATTTCCAGGAGGGTGTCTATTCTTCATCAAACCTAAGTAGAAGAACAGATAGTTCTCCCTGGGTCCTTGGGTTTTCATTTCTGAAGGTTCCCGTGTCATGCAAAACTTTGATTTTGATAAAATAAACATGTTATATTTGTTAATCTGCCTTTTGTTACAGGAGTGTCAGCTGTGACCCTTATAATGGGTTGGGAAAGACATCACCCATTTCCACCTCTCCAAATGTGTTAGAGTGGACAAGTATTAAATAGAGTAGGCAGCACTGGAGGAGCTGAGGGGGTTAGCAGAGTGGACATCCCACCCAAGAGCTTTCCAGACTGAGGGAGAGCTAGCGTGGATGCCAGGAGGCAGGAGCATAGCTGGAATCGTCAAAGAATGGCAAATGAGTAGTGTGGCGGCAGCAGAGTGAGCAGGGCAGTGGTCAGAGAGAAGCTCAGAATTGTTAAGGAGGAGCCTTCAAGGACCCTGATTCCTCCTTCCTAAAGACATGTTGCCAAGATGATTGTATCTTGAATGGTGACACATCCCACTGAAGAGCCTTGGGCCCAGGGTACTTACCCCATGTCTTCAAATCATGGAAGAGAATACACTGTTTACACTGTTTACTTTTTCTAACTTGCAGAAGGCACCCTGCAAATCTCCATTTATTGCCACTTTCCATCCTAACGTTTAACTTGGAAAGGCTTCCCAGCAATAGTTCTTGCTTTTTATTTGCCAAAAAAAAAAAAAAAAGATCTTCGTTCATTTGGAACTTCCTGCCTTCAGATGAATGTTGTAAACGTTACCTTTCTGTTGGCTACAAAATTGTTGGCTCTTAAAAATGGCGTTTGCTTTTAGTTCAGACACAAAACTTTGTTCTCCAGCCTTTCATCACAGTTGTGAACCTTACCAACTAAGACACTGAAGGGGATCAGAACATGCCATCCCAAAACACACCACTTTGTCATATTGATTATTTTGAACTGAAGGCAATCGAGAAAGAAGTACGCTTTGCCCTTCCTCTTTCTGCCTAAAACCAGAACATAAATTTCCTGTGAGAAAAGAAACTTCCCAATACTAGGAAGAAGAGAACACTCTTATCACCAGAGATGAAAAGTTGGTGCCAAAGTGATTCTGCGCAAACAAAGCTTATCTTCCATTAGTTTCCCCCAGACATTTCCCTGTCACATTCACAAATTTACTGCCCCAGAAGCTCAAACCTCTTTCGTTTCTAGTGACTTCCATGCAACGTTTCACCTTTCGCCAAGATAGTACATAAACCCTGGAGTCTAACTGCTTCTTTGGCGTTTTCACTTCTTTTCTATGAGGTCCCCTGTGCTTTGTAAAAATACTGACATCAAATAAGATCTGCATGCTTTTTCTCCTGTTCATCTGTCTTTTGTCATTTTAATTCCCAGGCTCAAGGTACCTAACTTAAGCAGGTGAAGGAAAAGTTTTTCTTTCCCTACAATATTTTATCTCATTCCAATTCTTAGTCCCTCAATCCTCCACTTTCCACCCTACAGGCCTCTTTTCTGTGCCTTCTAGAAAGAAAAATTATTTTTCCATTGTTCGGAGGAGGGCTATCCATCTTGTGGGTCATTTACACTTCTTGCATACTAACTTCTTTTCCCATTTTAGTCATTTCAAAGCATCATTACCAGAGAAACTTGGAGATAATATTTTATAAAATGCATTTACCTACATTTGATAAAGTATCATTATTTCACCAAATCCCATTTTGTTTTTCTCTTACTGTTGCACTTGAGAAACTACCTTTTCCAGCTTATCTTCCAGTTCTACTGAGGCCATGTGACTCAATACTGGCCAGTGAGGGATGGGTGGAAATGACATAAGCCACTCCCAGGTCTGAACATTTAAAAGATACCATGCAGGCCGGGCGCGGTGGCTCACACCTATAATCCCAGCACTTTGGGAGGCCGAGGCGGGTGGATCACAAGGTCACGAGATCAAGACCATCCTGGTCAACATGGTGAAACCCCGTCTTTACTAAAAATATAAAAACTAGCTGGGCGTGGTGGCGCGTGCCTGTAATCCCAGCTACTCAGAAGGCTGAGGCAGGAGAATTGCCTGAACCCAGGAGGCAGAGGTTGCGGTGAACTGAGATCACGCCATTGCACTCCAGCCTGAGTAACAAGCGAAACTCCGTCTCAAAAAAAAAAAAAAAAAAAAAAAGATACTATGCAGTCCTCATCCTCTCTTTGCTTTCCTCAACAATCTTGGAGGTCTCGTGTTGAGGTTACATCACAAGAAGATGGAACATGGATCCCAGGGTCTCCAGAAAGAATCCCCATTGGCCCACGCATGAATCAACTTTGTTTGTACCACGCCATTGAAGCCACTGAATTTCAGAGTTATTTAGCTCTGTAACACAACCTGGAATATTCTTTTTTTTTTTTTTTTTTTGCATTTTAGGTTTTGGGGTACATGTGATGAACATGCAAGATTGTTGCATAGGTCCACACTTGGCAGTGTGGTTTGCTGCCTTCCGTCCCCTCACCTGTATCTGTCATTTCTCCCCATGCTATCTCTTCCCACCTCCCCACCCCCCCACCCCTCCCCCATTTCCCCCCAACGGACCCCAGTGTGTAGTGCTCCCCTCCCTGTGTCCATGTGTTCTCATTGTTCAACACCCACCTATGAGCGAGAATATACGGTGTTTGATTTTCTGCTCTTGTGTCAGTTTGCTGAGAATGATGGTTTCCAGGTTCATCCATGTCCCCACAAAGGACGTGAACTCATCGTTTTTGATGGCTGCGTAATGGAATATTCTAATACTATACTGTTACTTGATTCTTGATCTGCTCCTCCATGCCTCCCCAAAATATTTCACCAATGGAGAAACCAGAGTCAGTGAAGCTACTGACCTAGCTAAGCTAGCACACCCAGTAAGTGAGGCAGCCACTCTTTGGTTCTCTCTACGTCATAGCTACCCTGTTGCTAGTGCTCTTTTGTGTAAACTTTCTGTATAGAAGAGGAAAAGGAGCCCTCCTGAGTTCTCCAGCTGGGACCTTGTAGATTAGACTGACAAAAGACAGACTAGCCAGAGAAAAACAAAGTTTATTAACACGTGCATCATACATATACATGGGAGTAACCAGAGATGAGTACTTAGTGTTTAGAACTTGGACACATACAGCATTTTAACAAAAGAACAATACGTATGTAGAGAAGTGGTAAGGCAAAGAAAGGGACTTTGAGCTTCTAGGGTGGCAAATTGTATGACACTAAATGTGTGGGAGAAACTAATGGAAGATGAGGGACAGTTAGTAAGGTGAGTTATACAGATTCTTCTGATCCCTTATCAACTTCTCTTGGCAGATAAGGGTCTACACTTGTCTCTGGTAATTAGGCTTTGACCTTCCTAGGAGAAAAGAAAAGGAGAATATCTTTCCAAATTTATGTTCTGCGTTTAGGTGAATAGGTGGAAGGCAGAGAGGGTTTTTTTTTTTTTTTTTTTTGACTGTCCTAATTGTTTATTAGGTATGAATTCTACAAACTTTACTTATATTAGCGGTAACGGTGAAGCTGGAGAGTATTGCGCCTTCTCCAAGCTGCCTGGCGAGAACCACCAATAGTGTGGTGGAACTTATGGCCCTTTCCAAGGCCACGGCTCTTTCAGCCTGCAGGATGTCAGCCCACGCATCTCCCTATGCTTGTGGACTGGTTTGGTGATCCATTGGGTGTCAGGATTTCTTCTGATAGCTTTATGGAATGGATCAATGAGAATAACCTCAAAAAATTTGTATGTGGAATCTTCGCCAACCCAGTAAGAATTCAGGGCTCTTAGAGCCCCACATTGGCGTCCAGCTCGCTCCTCTGCAACAGACTGAAGGCTTCGAGCAAACTTCAGCTGGTTAACACCATGATGGACAGGCTTGCCGTAAGTTGCACCCTTAGGAACTGGGCGTTTTCGGCCACCACGGCGAACACGAATCCTATATATAACGTAACCTTGCTTGGCCTTGTAGCCCAGTTGGCGCGCTTTATCAGGCCGGGTGGGGCGAGGAGCCCTGTGGAGAGCAGAGAGCTGGCGGTACTGCCAGCGGCGGACCCTCAGAAGAAAGCACATGACATCAGACTGCTTCTTTTTCCATAGCTGCTGGATGTACTTGTATGCACCCATCTTGGCTTACCAACTCTTGCCAGACAGGAGGGAGACCTATTTCCGAGGACACAGGGTCCCCGAGCCTGGATGGCTGAAGAGGAAGACGATGAAAAGCGGATGGAAGAGCAGATCCCCTGAGGTTTTTTTTATAGTTGTTTCTTCTTAATTACCTTCAGCTAAAAATAATCCTCATGCTAAGGTGGCATATTCTGTTACCCTTCAGTAGTGATCTACAACCATCAGTGGACCATTCATCCCAAAGTGTCATACATTTCATCTCTTCAGAAAGGTCATTTATTCTTATCCATCACTACTCTGTTGAACATGCAATAAGAGACACGCTGTAGCTATGAGGTCATGATGAGAGATATCATAATGGGGCATAATATCAAACCCCTCTGATATTCAGCTTATAGCACAGAACAGCTCACAAGTCTCATGCTTCCAACCATGATGGTTAAATAAACAAAAAGCCATGTATCACAGCAAGGACTCTAAAGAGAGACTAAAGCAAAAGTCATTATATGCTTTAAGGGGTGGAAGCAAATCATCAGAATTCAGCCCTTTCTAGTACCATGTGGGTTAGAATCTCAAAACCACCTGAACGTGTTGCAGCCACACTGCCATCTATAAATAATGATACCTCCCAAAAGACATGAGAAACATAATTCTCCATTGATACGTGTGTGTGCACATGTCCGGGTTTTAGAGATACCTTCCAGAACTTCTTATATCTATTCTTCCCTCTCTATATAGATGGCACTACCATCTACCCAGTAATGAAAACCAGAAACCTGAGCATCATTCCTGACTTAGCCATTTCTTTCACCCAATACCAGGTCCACTCATTCTTCCTCCAAAATGATCTTCATCTCAGACTTTTCCTCTCCATCTTCAATATCACCTTATCTCTTTCCTGAGTTAATGGGCTATACTATTAACTGGTCACCTGACTTTCACTTGAAATCTCCTCTACTCCAATCTCCTCAACAAAAGGGATCTAAAAACATAAGTCAGGCCGGGTACAGTGGCTCACGTCTGTAATCCCAGCACTTTGGGAGGCCAAGGTGGGTGGATCACGAAGTCAGAAGCTCAAGACCAGCCTGGCCAAGAAGGTGAAACCTCATCTCTACTAAAAGTAAAAAAAAAATAGCCGGGCATGGTGGCGCATGCCTGTAATCCCAGCTACTCGGGAGGCTGAGGGAGGAGAAATGCCCGAACCCAGGAGGTGTAGGTAGAAGTGAGCCAAGATTGTGCCACTGCACTCCAGCCTAGACGACTGAGTGAGACTCCATCTCAAAAAAACAACAACAAAAAAACATAAGTCAGATCATGTCATCTCTTTACTTAAAATTCTTTTTGGTTTTTGTTTGTTTGTTTTGTTTTGTTTTTGAGAAAGGGTCTTAATTCTATCACCCAGGCTAGAATGCAGTGGAGCAATCAGAGCTCACCACGGCTTTGACCTTCTGGGCTCAAACAATCCTTCTACCTCAGCCTCCTGAGTAGCTGGGACCACTGGCACATGCCACCAAGACCAGCTAATTTTTTTTCATAGAGACATGGTCTCACTATGTTGCTCAGGCTTTATCCCGTTCTCACATTGCTATAAAGAACTACCCGAGACTGGGTAATTTATAAGAAAAGAGATTTAATGGGCTCACAGTTCCACAGGCTGTACAGGAATCATGGCTAGGGAGGCCTCAGGAAACTTACAATCGCAGCAGAAGGAAAGAGGAAGCCGGCACATCCTACATGACTGGAGCAGGAGGAAGAGAGAGTGAAGCAGGCTGGGATGCGCTACACTTTTAAACAACCAGATAGCGTGAGAGCTTAGTCACGTGGCAACACTAGGGAATGGTGCTAAACCATTAGAAACCACCCCCACGATCCAATCATCTCCCAGCAGGTCCCTCCCACAACACTGCGGATTACAATTCGACATGAGGACACAGAGCCAAACCGTATCAGACTTCCACTTAAAATTCATAAATGGTTCTTATTGCACCTGCAGTGGAATCCGAACTCTGTCCTGTGTTCTCCAATATTCCATATGACCTGGCCCTTCCTGTCTCTCTTGCCTCATCTCACAGGTTTCCATACTCCCCACTTTCCAATCACTGTCCCCTCTGCATCTTTCTCTCATCTTTGCCTCTACATTTGCTCTTACCTGTGTCTGAAAGGCTTTGCCCTGTTTCCCCTCATGGCCAATTTCTCATCCCTCAGGGTTATATTTAGATGTCACCTCTCCAGGGCAGCCATCCTGACCACCATACCTGGAGAAGGTCCCTTATCCATTATTCTCTGTCATGGTATTCAATCTCTTCAGAAAACTTAATCAGTCTGTGCAGCCATTAAAAAAATAATAGTAAGTTCACGTCCTTTGCAGGGACATGGATGAAGCTAGAAGCATCATTCTCAGCAAACTAACACAAGAACAGAAAACCGAACACAGCATGTTTTCACTCATAAGTGGGAATTGAATAATGAGAGCACATGGACACAGGGAGGGGAACATCACACACTGGGGGTAAAAGGGAGGGAGAGCATTAGGACGAATACTTTAACGCATGCAGGGCTTAAAACCTAGATGACGGGTTGATAGGTGCAGCAAACCACCACGGCACATGTATACCTATGTAACAAACATGCATGTTCTGCCTATGTATCCCAGAACTTAAATAAATAAAATAAAACTTAGTCTGCAATGAGCTTATCCATCTTATGTTTATTTTCCTACCTTCCCCACCGAAATGTAGCATTCCTAAAGGTAAAATAACAATAATAAATGCTTTCCTTTTTTTTTTTTTTTTTTTTTTTTTTTTTTTTTTTTTTTTTTTGAGACAGAGTCTGACTCTGTTGCCCAGGCTGGAGTGCAATGTGCAATGGCGCAATCTGTGCAATCTCTGATCACTGCAATCTCCACCTCCCAGGCTCAAGCAATTCTCCTGCTTCAGCCTCCCAAGTATGTGAGATTACAGGCACGCGCCACCAGCCCCAGCTACATTTTTTGCATTTTCAGTTAGAGACAGGTTTTCATTATGTTGGCCAAGCTGGTCCCGAACTCCTGACCTCAGGTGACCCAACCGCCTAGGCCTCCCAAAGTGCTGGTATTACAGGAGTGAGCCACTGTGCCCGGCAATAGCGAATATTTTCTTTGTGCCACATGCTGTGTTGAGCGCAAGTATAGCCTGCTCAGTATCTCTCAGAAACACCTTTTGTTTTTAGTACCCAAACTTTGTAGAATGTATGTATCTCTCAATACAGAGTTCACTTGTTTATTCAGTAGCTATGATCCCAAAAGGTGCCAGAGGAATATATATGTAGTCTTTGGTGCCAGAGGAATATATATGTAGTCTTTGAATGTTGCTGTTGCTAGGAGTGACTTCAGAGCCTCATGCTTAACATGAGAAATACTATGCTATGCGCAGGTGCTTGTCTTGAAAACATTTCCCAGGTTTTCCATTTTGAGTCATTGTTCTGCCTGGAGCTATACAATGAGCACCAGGAAAGTTGATAGCTTTGAAGAGAATTATGGATAAGGAGTTAAAAATAAAAAGTGATTACAATGGAAGCTACGTTAATGCACATGAAGCAATGTTTTAATTTTCTGGTGTTTAATGTTTTAAACATTTTGCATTTTTTTTTTTTTTTGAGACGGAGTGTGTCACTCTGTCGCCCAGGCTGGAGTGCAGTGGCACGATCTTGGCTCACTGCAGCCTCTGCCTCCCAAGTTCAAGCAATTCTCCTGCCTCAGCCTCCCGAGTAGCTGGGATTACAGGCATGTGCCACCATGCTCGGCTAATTTTTTTGGTAGAGATGGGGGTTCATCATGTTGGCCAGGCTGGTTTCTAACTCCTGACCTTGTGATCCACCTGCCTTGGCCTCCCAAAGTGCTGGGATTACAGGCATGAGCCACCAGGCCCAGCCCAACATTTTACATTCTAATATAATGATTGCTTCTAATACATAAGTGTGTGTGTGGGAGGAACACTTTCAATAGCCATTTTTTTTTTTAAGACAGGGTCTTCTTCTGATACCCAGGCTGAAGTGCTGCAGCATGATCTCAATTCATGGCAAACTCCACCTCCCAGGCTCAAGCAATCCTCCTGCCTCAACCTCCTGAGGATCTGGGATGACAGGCACACACCACTACAACTGGCTAATTTTTTTTTTCTTTTTTTTGGAGCGGGGACAGAGTCTCGCTCTGTCACCCAGGCTGGAGTACAGTGGCGTGATCTCGGCTCACTGCAACCTCCGCCTCCCAGGTTCAAGCAATTCTCCTGCCTCATCCTCCCAAGTACTTGGGACTACAGGCATGTACCACCACACCTGGCTAGTTTTTTGTATTTTAGTAGAGACGGGGTTTCACCAAGTTGGTCAGGGTGGTATCAATCTGACATTCTGATCCACCCGCCTCGGCCTCCCAAAGAGCTGCGATTACAGGCATGAACAACTGTACACAGCCTAATTTTTATATTTTTTGTAGAGACAGCGCTTCGCTATGTTTCCCAGGCTGGTCTTGAACTCCTGAGCTCAAGTGATCCATCCGCCTTGGCCTCCCAAAGTGGATTACAGGCATAAGCCACTGTGCCCGACCTTCTGAAACCATTTGTGTTTACAGATTGGGGCCTGCAAATTAAACTCACAAAAGACAGATTAGCAAGAGACCAATTTTTATTCAAGTAAGTATGTGGGAGGTCACAGAAAAATATGACTCAAAGAGGCAGTTAGAACTGGGGCTTATATACATGCTAATAGAGGATAGAGAGGAGCAGGGAATACTTCTGGAGAACAAATGACTTTGTAGAAGAGGGAGGTAGAAAGAAGCACACTTACAGAAAAACAGTGACTTTTTTGAAAGCGAAATGGCCCCTTAGAATACATGAGAGGTGTGATAGTTTGTACCAATGTCTGCCCAGGTATGGTACCAACTTCTTGAGGCACAGAAGAAGGATTCGAGTTGCTCCTGGAAAAGGGATTTATGACAATTGGGTTTCTGGGGACACTCTGCTTTTAGGCAGAT